ATCAGGTTTTTTCTCCACCCCTTCTCCTCTGTGACTTTAGAGCATACTTGGGACACAGGGTTCGGAAAATTCTTCTGGGGCATTGATAAGATCAGACAAGTTCTTGGAAAATTTTTATCTCGGCAATTCCAGTTGCCAACGCTTTCTATAGAGCAATATGTGGTAGTTAGGGTATGGGGGGAAAACAGCAGAAAGAAAGGTTTTTATGAGAGGGAAGCCTGAACAATTTCATTAGAAAAAGTTACCTCACCCAACTGTAGTCTAACAACATAAAAAAAATGGATGAAAAAAACCCACGAGATTGTAGTGAACAGAACTGAGAAGACGGCAATGATAATGAGAACAGGATTGTCATAAAAATCACATGTTTATGAATTTCTGTGAAGTAATTGTAAAAATAAATCTGAAATGATTTAGTTTGAGTTTGTTTGTTCAATCATTCAGTTCATATCATACACCAGTTCCATATATACCAGGGGCTAGGAACACAATGGTAAGTAAAAGCAGCATGCTGCAACTCTCAAAGATTTACAGTCTAGCACACAGAGTACTCTACAGACAACCAACTGACAGATGTGCGGTGATGGGGCAGGCCTAGAGAGAGGACCCTGACTAGACTGTGGTGTCCAGGAATATCACTGCCTGTAGAAGCTCATCTATATATGCAAAAGGCTAAGCAACTGTCGGACCATCCGACCAGTAGCTATGACATGCACTGACCACCAGGGGACAGGAGCTCAATGTGGGAGCTGCCAAGCTGCCGTGAATTGTCAGCAGTGGTTCTCAGGTGACGCACCCCTGAACCAGAGAGGAGAGAGCCCAATTCCGGGCTGTGTCATCCGAGAATTGCTCTCTCGCAATCTGGGACCCCTCGGGAGATGTCGGAGAGCCGGTTTTAGCCCGATCCCTGCAGGCCAGGCCGAGGGAACCCACCTGACAGAGGGACCCCACTCATTCTGCAGACAACCTTCGAGCCGCAGTGCCACAGGTGCGGCCGGCCGGGGAGGGGCCATGGGAGGTTGGTCCCATCTTGCCCAGTCCTGCTCTACCGCCCAGTCCCGCTCTACCAGCCATTTCTAATTAATTTCAATGTGCACCAATCCGTGCACTGGGGCAGTAGTATTGTAAAGTTGAGCTAACATCTCAAGGTTAAGGGGGGTGTGATTTAGGAAAAGAGGGTAGAGGAGTGGGAGAAGATGTTCTGGGCAGAGGAAACAGGAGGAACTGAAAGAAGGCCATGTTGACCAGAGCTCAGAGTATGTGTGGAAAGTCATGGTAGGTGAGGCTGGAGGACTAGGCTGGGCTGATACCATGCAGTCAAGGATTTCAAGCAGGAGAAAAACCACATCTACTCTGCCTGTGGTGTACAGGGAGGATGAGGACCATGTGGATATGTGGCAGCCAGTCAGTAAGCTCTGGCTGTAGCTTGGGTGAGGGGCTGTGGTTTGAATGGTGATTGGAGCTGTGAATGAATGTAGGAAGTCTGGAGGGGGAAATAGATAGGATTGGACAGATAGGATATGAGGGATGAGGAAGAGGGAGACATCCAGGGGGGCACTTAGATGTCTGACCTTTACAGTGTGCCAGAATTACCTCCTTCTAATGCAGTGGTTCTCAACCTTCCTAATGCCGCAGCCCTTTAATACAGTTCCTCATGTTGTGGTGACCCCCAACTTCATTGTTACAAATTGAACATAATTAAAGCATAGTGATTAATCACAAAAACAATATGTAATTATATATGTGTTTTCCGATGGTCTTAGGCGACCCCTATGAAAGGGTCGTTTGACCCCGAAAGGGGTTGCGACCCACAGGTTGAGAACTGCTGTTCTAATGGTTTCTACAAATAAATACTTTCGGTATACATTTCCACAGAGATGAACAGATCTGCTTATGGAAAATCTTTAGTGGGCAGGGGGAGAGGGAGGTTATTATGGGAGAGAGTGAATACCATGTTATGAGGCCCCAGACATCCAGAACTTGAAGTGTGAACATTGCCCAGAGCTGATAGGTCGAGTAATGATGGGAGGAAGGTCATAAAGACACCCCTTATAAATTTTTTACTAGTGATTTGAATGAAAGATGAGAAGCAGACATGGAAAGGAAACATACTGTAAGGCCTGTATAAAGTAGGGATGTATTTGAATAAGGGAATTGGAAGATATATCAGATTTTACTGTTTAGGGAAGATCCTCACTCAGTGATCATAACTCTAAAAGTAAAACTTGAAATTTGGGAAATTACATTTTTACACGATGACAAAACCAGTCTTGTTTTGTTTTCTAAGGTGATTGATATGCCGGAACACAACCCTGGCAATTTGGGAGGAACAATGAGGCTGGGAATAAGAAGAACTGTTTTCAAAACTGAAAATTCAATATTAAGTAAGTTTCTCAGATTGTTTGTTTTAAGACATCGGGTGTCATTCGCCTTGCCCTTCCACCTCTCCGCTTTCCTTCCAGCCTTCCTCTCACCTGTCTCCCCCTAGCCTCCTGCTTCCCAATTCCTTTCCCTGGAAGGGTTGGTGGAACACACATGGATGCCCCTTCCCATTTGATCTCCATGATACCCTGTCCAGTGGGCTGTTTGTGATTTACTCATGTTCCTGGACATGATCTTTTACTGGGAGAGCCCTGATTCCAACTCGGTTCTTTTGAATCTCTCCATTATATTGAAACCCACTCCCTGTTTAATTGTTTCATGTCTGACTGGCTTTAGCCACTAATTTAGGAACTTCTTGAGAATGATAGCAGGTATGTCTCAGAAGTCTATTTCTCTGTTCCCTCAGTAGCTCCAGCATGGGGAGAGGAAAATATGATGCCATATTTGCTGATCTACTGATATTTGCTGATCTTCCACTCCTGATAAGATTACTCTAATTTCTGTGCAAGTTTGCCTGTAGATTAACATATTCTATAAGAATAACAATGTCAATACCCCCGAAAGCACTTAATTCAATTTAATAAATATGTCTTTTTAAAAATATATTTCTTTATTGATTTCAGAGAGGAAGGGAGAAGGAGAGAGAGATGGAAACATCAATGATGATAGAGAACCATTGATCAGCTGCCTCCTGCACGCCCCCTACTGGGGATCGAGCTGGCAGCCCAGGCATGTGCCCCTGGCTGGAATCCAACCTGGGACCCTTCAGTCTGCAGGCCGATGCTCTATCCACTGAGCCAAGTCGGCTAGGGATTAATAAATATATCTTGAGTAACTTACGCACCATGCTAGATTCTGCAGATAACAATAGGACTGGGATAGACACAGCCCTGCCCTCCCGGGGCCTCAAAACAAGTGGAAAGTGTGATGAAAGGCTTAGTGCAAGGTGCTAACGGGCTTGTCTACAGAGGAGGGAGCCCAGTATCTGGGGCATCCAGCATCATTCCTGTGAAGTTTTAAGAATGTCTGAGAAAAATGCCTTCTTAACTCAAAGAAGAATCAGATCAGAAATATGAGTTTCTCCTTTAAGGGTAATAAATAGCTTGTAAGGAATATAAAGTTTCCTAGCAAGCATACAATTGAAAAAGGAAAAGTTTTAAAGGGTACACATTTTCCCTGCTTTCTCTGGATAAGAAACCATTGTCTCTAAGTGACTTTTTCTTTAAGAATATAAGAATTTTTCCTCTTCGTGGCTATTAACAACGTCTTTGACTTTCAGATGTTTTAAAACGTTTGACACTTTGCTTTGTTCAAATGATTGCCTAAGTGACCAAAAGTAGTTAGACATTTAATGTTTTTAAATTGCATTTGTAAAAGATTCAGTGATAATTGCATTAAGCTTTTAAAAAGAGCATTTGTTCAATATATTTTAATATTTTATCTGTCTTGATAGAAATAAGACTGATTTAGGATTTGTTTTTCTTTACCTAATGTTAATGATTTTTATTAATTTTAAACACAACACCAAAACTTGTTGCTTAATGTCTTTTGCCTGCCTGGAAAAATATTTTAAACAGCCTCATTGATATTTACACTCTACAATTCATCTGTGAAAAGTGTACAATTTACTGTTTTTTATTGATTTCACAGAGTTGGGCAGCTATCACCACCGTCAATTTTTGAACATTTTTATCACCTCAAAAAGAAACCTTGTTCTTTTTAGCTATCACCACCAACCCTCCAGTCCTAAGCAACCATCAGTCTACTAACTGTCTCTATAGTTGCCTATTTTGGACATTTCATATAAATGGAACCATATGAAGTGTGGTATTTTGTTGGACTTCTTTTATTTAGCATAATATTTTAAAAAATATTTTTATTGACTTCAGAGAGGAAGGGAGAGGGAGAGAGAGAGAAACATCAGTGATGAGAGAGAACCATTGATCGGCTGCCTCCTGCATGCCCCACACTAGGGATGGAGCCAGCAACCGGGGCATGTGCCTTGTCCGGGAATCAAATTGTAACCTCCTGGTTCATAGGTCAACATTCAACCATTAAGCCACGCTGGCCAGGCTAGTGTAATACTTTCAAAGTACATCCACATTGTAGCATGTATTAGTATTTCATTCCCTTTTATGTCTAAATAATATTCCATTGTATGGACGTAAAACATTCTGTTTATTCATTCATCAGTTGTTTGGTATTTGGGTTCTTTCCAGGCCTGCCTTAAATTGAAATTATGCTTCATAAGCATATGAACCCGTGGTCCCCAGCAGGCATAAAGTTTTGCCTTCCCACCTGTGTGCGGTTTTCCACAGGTCTCCCAAAAAGGTTATGTCAGAGATAAGAAATAAATATAGGACCACTGTGCATGGCTTTATTGAGTGTCATAAAAATATAAAAGCATATATAGC